GTGGTAAGGAGGTACACAGTCTCTGTGATCGTGAGTAAAATGATGACGTTCCTGTCTTAGATCACTGCGTCCAGCGCGTCCCTAGACGCGGCATGATCTAGCGATCGACGGCCTATGTCTAGTTGGGGCCAGCGTTGTCAGGGTCAGTCAAAAAAGGTCAAAAAAGGTCAGTGGCACTGACCTGTCAGTGCACTGACCACCAGTCATACCATCAAAACATTCTTGCATAACTTAAATTTGCCAAACAATTTTGTCATCGTCAACGTCATCTACCAAGGGAGCGGTGAATCAAAAAGGGTCGCTGTCAACGGTCAATTCATTGACCTGGCCCTATTGACAGACCCGGTCAGACCCGACTTGCCTAGGCGGTGCCGAGGCGGCTTAAAACGGCATGGTCTCCCAAGTTGAACCAGTGTCGTTTAGCGATGGGAAGGTCAGTCCGACGAGGCGTGGCGTCTAGCTCTGTAGACTCACCTAGTCGTAGATGTCCCCTCCGGCCTCATCTTATCCCTGCACCCTGTGCTCAGCACTGTTACTTCCAATACCGCGCGCGCCGCGCACAGGCTCCTCATCTATGATCTGAAGGAATGAGGGCCATACTTGTAACGTACATTCTCTGACCCTCCAATATGTGCATGTTTCATTGATTGCATAAAAATTTCGATGACAGTAGTATTGCACCCACTCGTCTGAAATGGTTATGGCGCTCCTGGTTCCGTGAAAAGATCGATTCATGACCGCGGACAAAGATACTCCGAGCAGCCAACCTGGATCACCGGGGCTGAGTGACGAAGCGAGGTGCTGGTGGGCCGCGGATAGGAGTGCGAGTCGTCGTGCGTGCCGACTGCGGTGGAGCGCGCGGGGGGGCGCTGGGCATGTGCGTGACTAAGTGCGTCATCGGAGATGGCCAAGAAGTCAGGAAAAGAATGGCATTTAGTGAGCGAAGAGTTGGTGAGGCCGAAAGAGAGAAAATGCTTGCCAGTCATTCCGACTCATCGAGCACCTTTTAACCTTCCTCATTTAGATCGCCGTAGTCCGTTACTGTGTTCACTTCTTCAGAGTTGAAATCCAGAGCCCGGGTGAGTCGGTGTTACCCGCGATGATAGTGTACGACTGGCTTTTAAGCGACAGCAGCTTGACCTCACATTTTGCTCGTGCCGCAAGCACCAGGTCATTAGACTAGGAAGATCAAATGGAAAAGACAGTTGGGACCCGAGTGGTGTACCGCAGCCGCAGGTTGGGATGTAGATGATGCAGCGTCGAGGTGCTGAGAGTGAGAGGCCTAAAGCGGCCCAGTCACAATGTGACTAAGTGTCGACTGGACGGTGGATGCAAATTGAATTTTCGGACAGGTATTGTCTCACATTCGTCCTCTGAGGGCGGGGACCGTACGTGGAACCTCGAGTTGGCCGGGGGCAGAGCTTTCAGGCCTCTGAGGATGTACTGTGGGGCCTGGGCGAGAAGAAAAGGCTTGAATTAGAGAAGGAAGGGAATTTACTTATATTTAATCCGACTCTGCCTTGCATTATATCTGAAGACGGTCCTCGGAATAGACTTCGGAATGGAGCGGGTGTAAAAGTCAAGGCGTACCTATGGCCTATTTTGCCCTGCGATCTCCGCTATAATCGACATGCCATGACGGCTATTCCGAGAAAGACGCTGTGTACAAATCTTTCTCGACAATCGAAGCATATCCGCATGTCTAGGAAATATGAAGACTTTGAACAGGGGTCCAGGGCTCCTTCCTACGTGCTGAATATTCGGCAAAGCAGCCATGCACGCCGCACGGCTGCCCAGAGTTCCGTAAGGAGAAATCGAGCGCGCTAGGGAGTGCCTGTGAAGATTCCATGTCGTCTTCAGCCAAAGCAGTCGCCCGACTCCGAGTGGTAGCAGAAAGCAAAGGACGGTCCCGTGCCGCTGGCCACGCGTCAACATCAACAAGAATCAACAACGACACAGCCTCACGGTTCTTTCCTCTGTTTCCTCTCATCTCAATCCTTGTCTTATCGTGCATTGCCAAAGTGCTAATCTCCGACGAGGAACATTCCGCACCTTGAAATGACTCATGTCTGTGCTTCTGCTTCTCTTCTCTGGACTCTGCAGACTGGGGTCCGAACTGTCATCCCACACCACAGTCACGGTTGTTCTGAGTGCAACTGCGCCCGAAATTAAAAAGTCTCCAAACCTGCGTGGGCGGGCGCCGCTGCGCAGAAGCGCTCTCCATGACCGAATCACAATCCGTTCTCCCATCGATACTCTCAGGCTCGAGCCTTCTTCAGCTCAAGAAATCACCGTTCGTCAGCAAAACCTATAGAACCGCCCCCCGATAGAAACACGACTCTCCAAAGCGACGCCCCATCGCCCATCGATAACCTCGAATAGGGAAATTTCCTTACAGAGGGCCGATTATGATCTCACGTACACCTCACTCTCACAAAGTCAGATCGGCGGCATCCCAGGAACTTGGCCAGCGAATCTCCGTAGCTGGGAACTCCCGTGGCGATCTCGGTACTGCGTCACTAAGCCGGATATTCTGCCAGCTGACGGCAGTGTGCGTTCAGGACTCGATATATCTTCTCTCTCCCCAAGCACTAATCGCTTAGAGCGCGCCGCTCGGACGCGGATCTTCATCTCCCGCGGACGCGCATTCAATCGATCATGATCGCGCGACTCTGATTCCCCGCATTTTAATCTCTGGCGTCGTGAGAGCTCGGACCCCCCGAGAACGCGAGGTGATCCGCTTCATTTACCGCTGGTCTCGCGCAACTCCTCGGAACTGCCCGTGGCTGTAGGGGGGTCAGAACCCCGGGTCTGCGACCCGTACGTGCTTCCTATTCTTTTTTGGCCTGGGCTGACCACCACGCTACCACGCCCCTGCATCTATCTTTCCCCTGCTCGCGTTCGGGGACCCGGCTCATGCGCTGGTGGATACACGTTCGTCGTCGCACCCACTAGCACCGTCCGATAACCTGCCGCGCCTACCACGATATGCCCTAGCGCCATCCGAAGCTCATACATCAGGCAAGTGCCTCGCCTATAGATAGCTGCCGCACTAAAGCGAAGGTCCTCGCGTCTGCGGAGGAAGCGCTGCACATCCCCACTGGCGCAGAAGCTCCGCCGACAGTGGCAGTTGTTGGCGCCACACCACGCCCTTTCCTGCTGCGCGAGGGCGTAGGGTTGTGATTTACGGCTGCTATGTCGTGATTTACGGAGGGTTGCTAATTGCACCTCGTTTGCATTCACGTCGGCAACACACGAAATTAAAGATGCTGTACGGTGTACCTGGACGTCAAAAATTTGCTCAGGGTCGATTGCAGGTCGATGCCCATGGAAGCTAGCCGGAGAGGTGACGACCTACGCGAATGTGCAATCAACTGCCAGTGTCATCATCCGAAGACAGTGTTTGAGATGCAGTTCCTGGCCCGAGTCCGCGTATGTCCGCATACGACTCACCTATAATAAGAGTGCAAAAATCAAGCCATGCGGAGTACTGCCGGGAAATTAATGAACTGTAACCCGTCCGAAATGTAAGGTTATGGACAAGCGGGCAAACTTTGTTCGTTAGTTCGTTCCTTGAGATATCTCATTGGTCCCCATCCAAAGCTGGGCAGATGGCAACGTCGACTCATTGAAAATTTAAAAAGAAAATTACAAGGACCTCCGGAAGAATGTCATCACCCGAAGACAACTCTGGTAGTAGTTCCCACCAGACTTGTTCCACGTCTATTTAATGGCGCAAGCTCCCCCACCGTATCCTGCAATACGGCGAGAATCTACCCATGCGGGGTAACACCGGTGAATCGGTAACCACACTCCGAGCCCGGGCGCACACGATAACCTTGTTCGTCTGCGTGAGATAATCAGTCTCCCATGCCCTGGCTTCGGGTCGGGCTGGCATCGGAAAATAGCACCGTTGGCGTAGAAGGTTGTTGAAAATAGTTGCTCGAGGTCGATCTGGTAATGGCTCGAAGGTTAAAGGGAACGGAACGAACTCACCATGCCAGCAATTTTTGCGAAGCTGTAAATTAATTAACTGCAAGCTGTTCGACGGTTCCTTACTTGCAGTTAAGATACTGAATTCAGCTGGCAGGTCTCCCATTCAGTTCGTCTTGGCGCGAGTAGTAGCAACTTGGATGATGTCGAACTCTAGAGGAGGTTAAAACGGCAGAAGGTATCAGTGAGTACGTGGTCTCACTTTCCCCAGATTCGGTTGGACTGGCATCGGAAACATTGAATAGAAGGTCGAAAATAGTTCTTAAGATTGACTCGGCGATTGGGAGTGAAAATCTACTCAGGGCATAATCCCGGAGAATCCGGAAATTGGTTAACTGCAGTGCAACCTGTTAGGTTGTAGGTCGAGATCGTTTGCCAGTTCCTTCGGTAAGAGATAGTGTCCATCCACTAATTAACTCGACATCTATCACAGGGAAGGAGCGAAGACCATGCCAACAATTATCGCGATGTTGAACATTAATTAACTGCTTCAAGCTGTTCTTCGGCTCCCTTCTTGAACTTGAAGCTTACTCATCCACTCAGGTAGCTGTCACAAAAATGGTGGGAACTGACATTAAAGGTTATTAGAGGAGGGTGAAAAAAGAAAGCTCCGTTTCCGAGTCTTCTACTTATGGACTTGTCGCATGAAGCTTCCAAGGCAGTCCATGGCTAATAGAAATAATATGAGTGCCAAGCGGAAGAACCCCGATGAATCGGTAATAACCCGCTTGTGATATGAACGGACCCGACAAGCTTTGTTCAAAAGACTCGCAAGTCAGTGGATCCTAAGATAACTCAGCTCAAATCTCTCCCCAGGGCCACTGGGCTCACTCCAGTGCTCGGAAAAATCCCAGATTAAATATCATCATCAATTAGCCCTCAACGTCATTATTTAACTCTCCCAAGTCACAATCTCCTTCCGACTTGCTCGCTAGCAATCTTTGTATCGGTGTCTCGCAACTGTTCTCCTTGCGCCATATAGTTTATGGAGTTTCCTCACCTTCAACGGGCAAATAGTGTAGTTGGTTATCGCGCCCGCTTCGCATCAACACGTAATCGCGCCTACGTAAGCATGCGGGAGGTGCTGGGTTCAATTCCCAGTTTGTCCATCCTTTTTCTCTTTTAACATTTTCCCTTTATTTTTTACTCTGGAAGAGCCAGAAAGACCACAGGAATGCCCCGAGAATTTTTATTTTTATTTTTAAATTTGTGCACTAAGTCTGAAATTTGCAACAACTTGTGAAAATTTTGAGGTGAGGCGCTGCTGATTTAGGTGCCTCTGAAGTGAGCATTCATCTTGTGAATGTTGCCATGTCCTTTTGAAGGAAGTATCAGCTACCAAGGTCCGCCCGCACATCTATCAAGGACATAGTTTGTGGCATTCATTTACGACAACTCCCAAGTGATTAGAACTATCTAATCAATTATCTACCTTTTGGTGTAGTGGCAATTGATGCACCTGATAGCCTGCTTACACATGGCTGGGATGTGCATGTAGTTGATCTTGTGCTGTAATTTTCTTCCAAGAGGGTTATGGGACAATTATAATCATAGTAATTGTTATATCCCGAGTCGAAGTCGAGAAGATCCGAAGGGTCGGTTGTCGGCCAATGATTCAGAGATTCAGAAAGAGTCGGATCAATAGCAAACACCACAGGATGTAAGGGTGTGCGTACTACCTGGACTGGCAAGAGTTTCCAAGAGATCGAATTTATCGGAAAGTCGGAAAGTTGGGAAGGAAGTCAAAAGGGACTCGGAAGCAAGACCAGTAGTCAAGAACGTTAATAATCAAACTGAAGTACCATACAAACTTGTGAACTATTTATACTAAGTCATAATTATGTACGGCTGTACTTCAATATCCTAAATAAGAAGTCAAGTACGGTCGAAGCCGTAAGGCATAGGTGCGGAGCGGCAAAGGCTGACCTGAGTAAAAGCGATTAATAAATAAAGTTAAAACGGGAAATGCTCAGTAATCCTTCATTGCGTAAAACCCGTCCGATCAATTTCCGAGAATTCAGAGATCGGAAAAAGCCGAAGATCTCGGAAGATCTCGGAAAGCGTACGGATATAACAGTAATGTAAGAACAAGATTGGTAAGGGCTCTGTTGGGCACGAGGGGTAAAACGACTGAGGTGGCCAGATATGCAGCATAGGTATAAACAGAATAAAGAAATGACGGGTCCATACCGTATTGGAAATGGGCAGGTATACTACACACAGGCGGGTCTGCTACAACACGTAATTGGAGTTTTTTCTTTCTTTCTTTGCTTTGAGACTGGATCAGTGAGCCTCGTTGGGGCTCCGATGTTGGAATTTATGCAAGCAGAGATCGCTCCCCAGGGACGATCGGTCTTCCCAGTTGCACGGAGTGATGCAATTGTTGGCATCACCCAATTATGGTAACCAGTGTATCGGCCATTGGGGACGATACACACTTATACACTAGAATAGTGTATCGGCCGCTCAGGACGATACATCTATAGTGTTTCAGGATTATTCTAGACTACTTAGTCAGCATATTTAGAACGGTATATAAAGGGCCCGCATGTACACTACCTACAAGGTTCGGTCCCCGTCAATTCTACCGTTCCCTCACACTACCTCTCTCACTTGAGGCCTACCTTATTTCTGTCCACTCAATCTCTCAACATCCGACTTTAGTATTTTGGGGGGCAATGAATGCAGGGGCCTATTTACCTAGGATGGCCCCCACTGAGATAGTGAGGTGCATGCAGCACCACATGTGTTGCAGGATTGCACCAAGTCGGAAGTTTGCGATGAGTTGTTGAAAAATTTGTAATATTTCTGGCTTCCACGCAATCCCTACACGGCTTCCACTCCAACACTGTCAAAGTACACGGTTCATGAACTTGGCTTCTCGGTAGGAACCCCTTTAAAGGGAACGGAACGAACTCACCATGCCAGCAATTTTTGCGAAGCTGTAAATTAATTAACTGCAAGCTGTTAGACGGTTCCTTACTTGCAGTTAAGATACTGAATTCAGCCGGTCTCCATTCAGTTGGCCTTCGTGTGAAGGGTTGCTCAATTCTTAGCCCGTCTCCCCGTCTCATATTTGTTCGAAATAAATAAAGATTTCAAACTCCGCTAGGCCTAGGTTTAATCGGCAGGCAATTGGCACTGTTATCACAGGCTGCAAACCCTCCTCATCTCCCTGGGAACATGTGGGCAACCCATAGCCTTTATTTGAAGCTGTTGGCGACCTGTGGAAAAATATAATGATGTGCATTCGTTCCATAACCCTTCAAGTTTGATCCGTATCGAACCCCATGACATTGCCGCACCATAAAAATCTCGCACACCCTTGGGTAGACGTTGGTGCATTGTATTGCCTCATCCACAATAGTTTCAACGTACATGCACTCTAGGCAGAGCAGCAATACCTACCCAAAATCTGGCTTGCCGAGCGGAGTTTGAAATTGGTATTTATCTCGAACAAATAAAAGACGGGGCAATTCAAGATGGGGAGACGGGCACAAGAAGGGGTGCTCAATTCGTGTCAGCATTCCGCCCTGTGCAAGCACAGGAAGGATTTGACAGCGGCCATGCCGATCAGGACTCGAGCGTTCCATTTTACAGCCAAAACTGCGACTAGGAGGCAAGTAGGAGCATGAGTAGGAAAACCAAAAACCGGGAACCGCCTTAAAGAGTTTCAGTGCTATCGTTTGACTCTGCCAAAGCTCGGTTTAGTTCTACTGCTACTTCATTATCGCAATGGGCACATAGTGTAGTTGGTTATCGCGCCCGCTTCGCATTGTGGGTCTGAACTGCGGATTACATCAGCTTGCGGGAGGTCAGGAGTTCAACTCTCCTTGTGTCCATTCCTTTTTGCGTATTCATTCTTTTTTCAACCAATCTGAAAATTTCGCCAAATGAGTGGGCCGGAATGAGGGAATCCATGAATATACCAACGGTGATTCACCTGGGGCGCACCAGTGAGTAAATGACGCTCCGGTATTCAGTCAATAGCCCTTCTGCGCAAATGGAGTCACTCGGTTTCGCGCCAGTTGCGTAGAGGAAAAATGCAAGGAGGTAGAGAAAATTGGCAGAAACACCAAATCGGCTCCGGCTTCTATAAATTCGTCGATGGTGTGACACTCGTGACTTGTCGCTCTTGATCCCGACCATCTTCTTGAATTTCTTGGTGACTATTCCTTTTCTTGCGGCATGAACTACAAGCAGAACCTCGCGGGTGGTTCCAAAGCGCTCCCAATCTCCGAACCCGGGACGACAATCCCGCTTGCCTACAACACGTTTACCAAGTAGGTCGCTTTTGCGTCTTGTCCACCCTTGAATAATGTTTTCCCGCAGGTCTGCCAGCGGGCAAGAGGCGGCAGACCGGATGCGGCGTCAAGTGCGGATTATCACCAACCCGCAGGACCCGTTTTTGGCGTGAGTTCGCCTCGCCTCCAACGTCCCTCCCGCGATCTGATTCACACATCTTCAGCGTCGCGCGCCACGCAGAGACCAGGTCTACCTTCTCTATTGCCGTTACTGCTCCTATTTATATCTTTCAGTACGGCCACCACCTCCAATGGGCAGAAACGCGTCTGAGAAGACTCCGACTCCGACGAGGCAGATGCAGATGCCCATCGTCATAAACGTGCTCGCGTACGCGGTCTTCGTCGCTCTTTGTATGACCCTGACCCGATTCCCTTCTAGGACGACGACGATGAAAAAGAAAATAGCCCTAAAGCTCCCCGCGCGCGCCGCCGCTCTCCCCATACTTCCCCTTCCAAGGTGCGGCACTTCACTTTAAGCCTCGAGGCCGAACCAATGTTTAAGACAGGCCCGCGCGGACCTTCCTCCCAATGAGGAGGTCATTTTGATTCCTTCCAGCCCCGCCGTGAGTTCCTTACTTGGTCGTAGTCGCCGCGATTGAACTTGCGCATCACATCAGCCTCCACCCAAAGCAAAGAAGGCACACGGGAGGGTAGCAGCAGCAATTGACGATGAGTCTGCGAACGTACGTCCGCATGGCGCAGACATGGTGTCCCCGCTCATTTCCGTTGCAGCCGCAGGAGGAAACCGACCAAGTGCGTCTGCTTGCTATCCACCCCGCCCTCCAGCTTATCCGCGCTATAGACCGGCACCAGCACCAGCAAAGGTTCCGCGCCCAAAGTGAAAGAGAAAGAAAAAGGGCCTCCCACTCGTGTACGTTAGCCTTGTCGACGATATGGCATACAGCTCACTCCGTTGTAGCCAGGAGAGAAATCGAAGGAAAAACCTGCCTCCGCTCCCAAGGCCCCTAAGCGTAAGGTGGGTATTTGGCACACTCTGTTGGCGCGTGCTTACAATCCCTTTGTAGAAAAAGAATGACGCTGGGACGGAAGCGGTGGCTGAGAGTGTGGCGGACGAAGTCTGTCTGCGCTCTGTCCTGCCTTCATTGTGCTGACTCTTGATATGGACAGACTTCCTCCAGCAACGGTGCCTGTACGAAGGTACTTGATACTCGCTGTCCCTCGAATGAGCTAATACCCGGCTGCAGCCAATCGCCTCCAGAAACCCCACCAAGCGTGGGACGCAGGATAAGCGAGGCGGCGACGTTGTGGATGCGGCGGCGGTGGGTAAACCATCCTACTTGCGAAGTACTGATCCATACGTCGTTCCAGACAGACGCGGGGGCGGATGGCGCAACCGGGGCCGACAAGGGTGCGGTACGTCTCCGTTTTCTACCTCGCATGGATGGCTTCTGACGGCCCGTACAGACTGCTGAAGATGCGTTGACCGAGGCGGGGAGCGGCGCATCATCCAAGGTATTTGATGGCTCCTGTTCCCTGCGCGGTCTAATCTTCAGATTCAGCCCACCACCGCCAAGCGCCAAGCGAAGGGGAAAAAAATCGATGGAGAATTTGTGGACCCGGCCCTCGTGCGTAAACCGCACCACTTGTCGAGCATTAACCCCATTTCGTAATAGACCGACGAGGGTTTTTATCCCGCCCTTCGCCTATCCATGAAGATGATGGGGCCTCTGCCGACCGGTCCCTCACCCGAGGCGCTCCACCTGCATTTTGCGGGGTATAACCTTTACAACGCTTCCCAGCAGCTTCTTCAAGCGGAACGTAAACTCAAGCTCGAAACCGACATCGCGAAAGCCACCGCCAGTTTCAACGAACTTTCTATTAGCCTTCGTGACCGCGAGCTGGCGCTCCGCGAAAAGGAGTACGCCTTGAGTGAGAGGGATCTCGAGCTCCGTGAAAAAGAATTCAATTTGCGCTTACTCGGGTAGTTCGATAGCGGACTGTATATCGTCGTGCTCATGGACACCTTGATACTTAGCAGACACTTAACGTAGCTCACGGTTGGCTCACGGACGAATAGAAAATTTCCAGATGTGTCACCAGTCACAACTGAAATATGAAATGTGCATAACGTCCGCAGTGAATCACTATTGCTCCCTACTCCAGGATAAGCCGTCTCCGCCATCGCTCCAAGCTGCGCTCTCCGCGACGGCCCACTCAGGTCCCCCCCACGCCATGGCTTCCTCCGTGAGCTCTCCTTGCCCCCACATTTCGTCCCCGTCCCAAGATTGCCCGGGTCCCTCTCCGCTCACAACCCACTCCGCTCCCATCTCGTCTTCAATCTCGGGATCCTGCTGGAGATAGGCGAACACTCTGGTGATGGTGGCCGTCCTGTCCTCCTCCGCCAGGTACAGCGGGGATGCCAGGGAAGCGAAGGCGACGACTTGCTCATAGATATCGAAGACGTCGGCCACGAGCGGATGATCTTCTTCGACAATGTGCAGGCAGACGTCAAGCAGACTCGCGGACCGCAGCTCGTTGCAGTAAGGGCAGGGGAGTTTGCCCACGCCTCGACTGCGGGCTGTCGCAGAGTCGAGCTTGATCATGCGGAGCGCTCGGGCGTGGGGATCATGGGTTTTGCCTCTGTTGTGCTTGGCCTTGTGCGACCGCTTGTCGAAGGTGATGGCGCGACGGCTCGGGGGAAGGGATGGGTCTTCGCGGCACTGGGCGCAGCCGGTGAGGTCCTCGTCTTCGTCATCGGAGTTGGTGGCGGGGTCGGGGTCGGCCTCGTCGGCGTCCGCAGCGTGGGACTTGCGTGCGGTTGCATTGGGAGCGGCGGTGGCGGCCTCCTCGTCTTCGTCACGGTCCCTCTGCGCGACAGCGGGCTCCTCGTACTCGTCACTGTCTGTGGTGGATTGGCCAGCGCGCGGTGTGTGAGTGGCGGCGTCCTCGTCCTCGTACTCGTCGCTGTCTGCGGCGGTGGCTTTGGCAGCGCGAGGCTTGCGAGCAGCGGCGTCCTCCGACTCGTCGCTGTCTGGCTCCGCGACGGCGGGTTTGGCAGCGCGTGCGCGAAGCTGATGTGTGGCTGCTTTGGGAGGGGCGGGAGCGGGGTCGTCGTACTTGTCGCTGTCTCCCTCCAAGATGGTGCGTTTGGCAGCGCGGGGCTTGCGTGCAGTGGCGGGGGGTTCCTTGTCCTCGTCCTCGCTACTGTCATCCTCCGAGACGGTGGCTTTGGGCTTGCATGCACGACGTTTGCGTGCGGCCACTTTGGGACCCGCGGCGGGGGGTTCCTCGTCATTGTCCTCGCTGCCGTCTCCCTCCGCAACGGTGGCTTTGGCAGCGCGGGGCTTGCGTGCACGCGATTTATTGTTGTCCTTGTCCTTGTCCTCGCCCTCGCCCTCGCGGTCCTTGTCCTCGCCCTCGCCCTCGCGGTCCTCGCCCTCGCCCTCGCCCTCGATACCATAATGAACACGGCACAGTAGCTCATAATCCGCATCACCGACCACCTCGGGTGAGTGCTCTTCGACGATGTGCTCGATGAGGTACTTCTTGGCGAAATACCTTTTCTTGCCCAAAATGTCGTCTGGTGTGATGGCTTCTTCACCGCGGCGACAGAACGGGCATCGGAAGAAAACCCGTTTCGAGTTGGGGTCGCAGCAATGCGCGCTGACCGCTTCGAGCAGGCGCTTGCTGCGGTTCTTGTCGGAATGATGTGTTTTCTCGTGACGCAGGAGGTGCGCCTTAGATTTCCAGTCTCGCGCAATGTCTTCCGGAGTGCACGTTGTGTCTTCGCAGCACTCGTCGCAGTGGAATTCACCGCATGGGGACTCCTGGAGTGTTGCAAGGTTCCTAAATGATGTTAGCATAGAAAGGTAAGTGTGTACAACAGAACTGACTCAATCATAGTAACCATCTCCTTATCAACCGCCTCCTTCGAGTTATCTTCCACGTTCTCTCCGTCGATGTCGGGCTCTGCGACCGTGATGCGCGGGGCGTTCTCGGTCTCACCCTCTTCGTCATCGACCGCGTCTCCGCTGTCCGCCTCATCTTCTCCCCGCTGCCCAAAGTTCGGGAGGCCTGCTTCCATCATCTTTGCTCGAGCCGCCTTGAGGATGTCCGGTAATGTTGATGGTTTTCTGAGCTCTTCCACCCGCCGCTGTCGCTCCTCCACTGTCATCTCCTTCCGCACTGTGCGAGCCGTCTCCTCTCGGACCTCTTTCGCATGGCTAGCTTGAGCGCGGGCGGCGAGCCGCTTGATTCACTTCTGCGTCCATAGCAGGACCGTGTCCGGCGTGTCGTCCTCTTCGAGGATGACTTGATCGTACTGGGGCCGGTCAGCGAACGGGGGGAAAAGGGAGAAGAAGACGGCGTACCACTAGACCTTTCCAGTCTTCACCCGCCCCGCCGCCCAAGGCAAGACAGTCTTGGAGATTCTGGGCTTGCTTGACCAGGATCGCCAGGATCGGCTCCCGATCCACGAGACCCGCCATGTCGAGAGGAGCAACGTCGACGGGGGCGCAGAATACTGCGACGTTGCGCCCGGATTGGACATTGTCTTGCAGATCTTCGTCGGTAGCGAT